TAAAAACTCATCATTTTCCTCTTTTGCTCCCCTCAACCCAAACATATGGTAGGAACCAAACTCAAAAAAATTTAAGCCACCCGTATCAAAATCATGATATCCATATGGCAAAAATGAAAAAAAAAAAAAGCCGTTTACACGTAACATATACAAGGGTGGAGCCAAGAATTTTAGTTAGGGGGCGGATTTTCAAGTTTTAAAATAATACATTATAATTTCAAAAGTTTGTTTTTATATCTTAAATTAAAATAATACTCGACGAGTTTTTATATCACAAAATCTATCTATAATAAAGTCTACACTAAATGTCTAAACTATTTCATTTTCAATATAAACAATCAAAGAGTTTGAAAAAAATTCATATTCGATTTTGTTGTGAAATTTTGTTTTCACAATTTTCATTGCAAAAAATGCTCTTTCTATAGTTGCCGTAGAAATTAGAAGAGTAAGTACCAAAATAATTAACTTGTAAATGAGATTGTAGACCTCTGATTTTTTTATCTCCACAAGCCATTGACATAACTCATAAATATTTGACAAATCCTGAAAACCCTGATAACAACTTGTTTCAATCTCATAATGTTAAAACTTTGATCTCAAATGAAGTTTCTCTATCTTTGAAAAATCTTGAGGATAGTATTTTTCTACAAGTTCACAATATGATCAATATTGAAACTCTTGCACCCATTTTTAGGATCGAAAGCACCACTAAGAGTCAATAGTTCCATTGCATTATTTTAAACTTACAATTCAATTCTTGTAACTGAGAATCTATTACAGCATTGAAAATATCTATTTGATAATGATACTCAACAGTAATAATATCTTATTGATGACGAGTATGTCCTCCATGTGTAACATATGTGGCAAACATGTTAGGAACATTTATATTGTTATTATCAAAAAATAATTTTATCTTTTCAAGTAAAGAATCTCATCCACTTTCTCTAAATTGTTGAATGAGAGCCTTTGTTGATTTAACAAGATTTAAGATATTCAAAATATCTTGAGATTTACACTGTAGAGCTTGACAAAGCAAATCCGTAATCTCCATGATTTCTTGTAAAACAAAAACAAACTCAAAAGATATCAACACATTATATGCTACAAACAAAAAAAACATATATTTGTTACCTTCAATATTTTCCTTTAAGATGTAGAATTCAAACAAATTCTAGAAAAACATAATAATATCTTATTGATAACGAGCACGTCCTCCCCGTGTAACATATGTGGCAAACATGTCAAGAACATTTATATTGTTATTATCACAAAATAATTTTATCTTTTCAAGTAAAGAACCTCATTCCCTTTCTTTAAATTGTTGAATGACAGCCTTTGTTGATTTAACAAGATTTAAGACATTCAAAATGTCTTGAGATTTACACTGTAGAGCTTGACAAAGCAAATCTGTGATCTCCATGGTTTCTTGTAAAACAAAAACAAACTCAAAAGATGTTAACGCATTATATCATGCAAATAAAAAAACATATATTTGTTACCTTCAATATTTTCTTTTAAAACGTAGAATTTAAACAAATTCTAGAAAATTCAATATGTTACATTACTTTTAAATGCTTCTCCATTTTTTTTTTCTAAAGGTTCTGTAAATAATTGTGGGTCCACTACTAGAATTCATAAATTCCCTGACGTGAAATCATGTCGGAAAGAAAGGAAATCACGTCAGTAAAGTAATTTTTCGATAAGAATCATGTCGGTAATTGAGCCCTCGGTAAAAGTGGCCTCGGTAATTCATTTATCGACGTGGATAAAAGTTACGTCGGTAAGATAACTCCAAATTACCGACAAAAAACATGTGTCCAAAGTTGTCCCGGAACAGTACCACCAGAGTTCTTTTCTAGTAACTCACATCAGTAATTCATTGACGAAGATCATATGTCCAAGTACAATAAACAGTGTCTTGGTGGGTGGGATGGTGGGCTAGTTACCAACAAGAATCATGTCTCTACTTATTATGAACAGTGGCTTACTAGGTGAAGTAGGTTGGCTAATTACCGAGGATAATAGTGTTTGAAATTTGAATTGGCAATGCAATGTGAGAATTTTCAATTTGCAAATTACAGACGAAAGTCACATGGGTACATAAATCTATTAAAACAAAAAATAAAAAACAGTTTCTTGAATTAATATTGAAATTAATATATAATTTTTATTTAATTCAATTAATTTACATTTAAACATTACCTAATTCATAATTTTTGATTTTATAAAAAATAAATATGATATTAAAATATTATAGTATATAAAAAATGATTGTGTTTATTTATTCAAATTAATGATTAAAACAAAATTTAGAAAATAAGAATAATATTACAAACTTAAAATATAATTACATAATCCAAAAAATTAAAAATTACCTCAATAGAGTTAATTTAC